TCAGCGTAACCAGCGCAACGCAGCGTTTCATTTTTCTAGTCGCTAATGCGTACGCCGGCATTAGCGACTAGGAAAATTAGTAAAAATTAGGAAAATTAGGTATCGTTCTAGCGGTATGCCAGCGTACAGCAGCGTTTCGAGCGACGTTGACGCAGAGTGATTCAGCAAAAAGCAAAGTGAACAACGCTCAACCTTTTGAACGTTAGACACCTACCCGCTCGGTATATAAGTGGCTAAAGTTTCTTCGAGCCTCAGAAGAAAGATCACCACTGAACCCACCAACAGCCTTTTTAGGTTCTACCCCTCATTTCTAGTATTCTCATTTGCTCGTTTTTCTTACTTACTCGAAGATTGTTATGCGAATACTCACCTACAGATATGAAGCAGAAGGTCGCTATCGCAAGCAAGTGAAAGCCCGTAAATTGTGGGAGCACATCGTGTCCAGCCAGATCGAAACGGGAACTCCTTACATTCTATACAAGGTGAATTACTTGTCTTTCAACAAAAAGGTGCTGTTCCGTTTTGCACAGGTTGAAATTACAATTTAGGATGCTTGCAATCGGAAGAGCAACCAGCAGAACCTGGGCACTATCAAGTGTTCTAACCTATGCACGGAGATTGTGGAGTACTCCAGTAAGGATGAAGTGGGTGTTACAGAGGTTATACATCTCTTTGGTTGTTTATTGATGGAATCTTTGTTAAGGTAGCCGTATGTAATCTTGGTTCGATTGCCCTTAACAGATTCGTAACAGAAGACAAGAAGTTTGACTTCAAGAAGCTTCATGAGGTTGCTAAGGTGAGAGTTGTATCCCTGTACACAATAGGATTTTACATGACCTTTTCTACAAAAATGGGTTAAGGTGCTAACCCGTAACTTGAACAAGATTATCGAAGTCAATTACTACCCCGTTGAAGAAGCACGACGTTCCAACTTCCGTCATCGGCCGATTGGACTTGGAGTACAGGTAGAGTCCACTCTCAGAAGTTTCTGAAAAGGTACTATTTTTAAAACTCACCAGATCTGCAA